CCTCTYGCTCACACAGCAATTGCCACCTCCCTTGATTTCATGATTGAAGTAGCCTTTCACTTTGCGCAGAGGTTGGGCGCAGCAGCAGGWAAATGTGGCCGTGTGTCGAATGCTCCTGCTATGTGGAGGAAATGTTTGCCCTGCCGTCAGGGTGTGATTGCCCACACATCCCTGAGCTGCCTTGGAAGCAGCCCTGGGAGCCCCGGAGCCGTGACGGGTGAGAATTTAGCACAGGTTAAGTGCCTGGGTATTTACCCAGTTTCTCAAGTGGGCTTTGTGGTGTGCACGGGGCTCTGCCTCYGCATAAGATCTTCTGACAAAGGTGGAGCTTGGCCATACAAACAGAGAGCTCTGCAGGAGCTGCTCAGGGCTGCTCCAAACCCGAGGTGCTCTTCTTCGCCTGTGCCCCTGGCTGGTGCCCCCTCAGGGGCAGCCACGCTGAGCGTGTGACGCTCCCATGGGACTTCTGTATAGGACAGCCCTCTGCTTGGGCACCTCTTGCACTATTCCAAATGTTTGCCAGGCCCCAGTTTTCATCTAAGCRCTTTAGAGTCCAGACTTTAAAGCTTAGCTTAACGTCCAGCATGAGCTGGCTCTTCCTGGAGCTCTTCCTAGTCCTTCGCAATCTGAGTCRGTCTGCCCTGATTCGCCCTGGTTTGTCCTTTGCCCTCAGTGTTGTTTTTAATCCACYCGATGCTTGAGTCTCTCTCTGCCTTCCTCTGATTCCAGACATGGTTTTAGCACATGGGTGAGACATGGGCAATKTCCTCGTTTGGTCCTTAGCAAAGTCTGGAGCTTTCTCTGCATATTCTGGTGGAGAAGAGTGTTYGAAACTGCTCTGTCTGCCCTTACCACTGTCAGTGGTCCAGGAGCTGCAGCTGCTGCCTGGTGCATTTTTTTCCCCCTTTTGATATGAAAAGGAGCCTATGGTTATCCCTTGCCTGGAATTAGGCACCTTTGCAGCTAATCCAGTTGACAGATGATTAGCAAATTGGCTTTTTTTTTTTTTTCTTCCCCTTTGAAGGACTGACGCGTCTGTGTTGTTCTCTCCTTTCATCTCCTGTGTTAAATGGTCCAGCAATAAAACAACAGCTGGGTTTCAAAGTGTGTGGTTCTCTAGATCTGTGTGCTCAGGCACTTTGTTGAGAAGTYGCTGCTGTACCAAAGTGGCTTAAAATAGGAAAGAAAAGGAAGGAAACGGAACAAGCAGTGCCGGCAGTGACTTTGGGAATGAGTGGATTTTGAGTCCAAAGAAGAGAGGAGAGAGGCAAAACCCTTGTGACCACTTGAGGAGAGCACTCTTACTTAGCAAGGCTGCTAGGTCATGGAGATGTCTGCTGAACTGCTTGACCTGCACCAGTAATCCCATCGTGCCGCATGTTTGCGGGGTGGAATTTTTTCCCAGCGAAGGCTGGATGTGCAGCTTTTGGATGTCTTGTCATTCTCTTACCTTTCTCTCAACCCTCTATGAGGGAGCTTGAGGGAGTTCTCATCATCAGCATGGTAGAGATAGGATMCCAGCTCAAAAAATGAATCGAGTAGACTGCAAACCAAATACAGATGTTTCCAATCCATTCTAGAAGATGCTTTCTGTCTTCTTTTCTACATTTCAATGATATTAGCAACCTCCAAGTAGAAGAGTGTCTCAAACTTTCCAGGTTATGGCATTAATAACATTGTGCAAGACGTTGCTCTAGGAAAAGCTATTTTATCTTTTCTGGTTTTTTTTTCTATAGATGTATCATGTGACAACATAGTTGGCAATCTTTGCATAGACACAAGGGTGTTGCAGGCCTGCAGAGGAGGCCTGATGCTTTTTATCCCAGAGGTCATCATGGGTCTTTTGAGGGGGATTTATGTATGTTTGCTGACCCAAAGGGTTGGTCAGAGAGGGATCTTGGTTCAGCAAAACTTTGCAGGGCTGGGCTTATCTGTGCAAGGCTCTTTCTCGCTGGAGCTCTGCTGAGARCAGCCAGGATTGCTGCTTCCATTACAGCTACTTGGCCTCATGCTCCAACCTTTCTTGCCCTTCCTAAGGGACTTCTGTAAAACTGTTTGTCTGACAAGCATGGTCCTGCCGTTCTGTTGTGCTGGTAACACACAAACTGTGTGCAGAAATCCTCCAGGAGACCTGGGATGATGTCAGGCAATAAAGTATCCGTTCTGTTGGAGCATGTGGCCAGGGCAGTCAAGCCTCATGATCTCCTTGTGCTAYGAGGTGTCTTTCCCAGTCTTCCTGTATGTGTTTGTAGGTTGAACTTGGAGCCAAGATCTCCTGGAGTCTTGCCTTGTTGTTTAGTGTCATCCCTTAAGAGCCARGTTGGTCCTCTGCTTAGCCTGTCCCACCAAACTCCTGTCAAGCTGAAATCCAAGGCAGAGTTTCGCCCAGACTCCTATTCCATCCACCTGAATGTTTTCTTTCCTCCAAGACAACCACAGGTGTTGTGAGTTCCCTTTTGAGAGACATGGGTTCAAATGGGGTTCAAGGCACCAATGTAATGAGCCTTGTTCTTGCCAGAGGCTAGTGCTGTGGTTGCGAGAGAGATGCTGCAGCTTGATGAGTAGCAGGAATTCATTTGCAGTGATGTCTGCTGTGAGTAAAGCTGAGGATCCTACTGAAGGCAACAAAAGCAAGTTGTTGGAGGGTGCAGTGACATAACACAAAATTATGACAGATATTTTGYTATAGAACAGTGACATACAATACTTCATACTGCAAAACAAGGGTTAGTTTGAAACGTGCTTCTGCCAAACCCAGAGAGGAAATAATGATGAAAAATATTTTTGGCACTGGGATTGTAGCAGAAAACCTTCAACTCCTTTTAACAGTGAGCTTTATGTTCCCCATATAGAAGTACTCCTAGGCAAGTGAGAGGAGAGGGTTAAACAAGATAGGAGAACAAAACGGTGTGGGATGGCCACAGTGAAAATAGTAAGACTAAAGGCTAGGGAGATAGGCTGGGTACAGCAGAACAACTTMGGGAAATATTTAACTGGGAGCAAGAACAGCAGATAAAAATCTTGATTCTCCATGGGGTAGCTGGAAATTAGCTTTTGCAGCAAATCCCTGTTTGCAAAGGGAGTAGAGACAGCACGATGAGGGGCTGTTGTCTGGATCAAGGGATGTTGGCAAAGGTTATGTGGGCATATGACTTGTCCCTCTGCCTGGCTCGTTTGATGAGCTTTCATGTGGATTTCTCTTGCTGAGTTACCATTTCACTTCAATTAAAATGCATAAACACACTGGATATTATATGCACACGCCGCTACAGATGTGTGCATGCCTATTTGCACCGGCACGTGCATGCAGGGCCCTCGGGCTCCCTTTGCCGCTTTCCCCTTGTGCGTTCAGCGAGGGGACGGTCGCGCGGCCGCCGCAGCTCTCRGCCTCGCTGTGTCGTGGTGGCCACGCGAGGTGGCCGGGTGTTCTGGGAGCCCTGAGGGCGCCCTCCGCATCGCTGCCGTCCATCGCGGTGCTCCCATAACCGCGCTGGCTCTGTCGGGCAGACGTCCGTGCAGTAAAAAGCCTATGGTGGCCTTTGCCGAGGAGGCTCTGCCAGGCTGGATGGGGTGCGGAAGGAGGGAGCCCCGGCTGTGGGAGCAGTTTGCTGCCCTGTGGCTGCCCTGCCTTGGAGGACACGGTGTCACAYGGCCTCGCTGCAAGGGCACATCCTCTCTGCTGCCCCGGCTCTGCTGCGGGCAGGTTACACTGGGCTAAATCTGAGTGCTTCTGTTCCACACATGATTGTGCATAGAGCACTCGAGGGGAAAACGGGCGCTTGGTTTGGCTTTAGCAGGTGGCGTAAAAGCTGTGCCTGGCTCAGAGGGCTTSCTAAGGCGACGGGCTTTGATCTTCTCCTCTGTGGCTTGTCTGGGTTGTGTTGTATTTCACTAATGGCAACTAGAACTGTGACACTGAAGCCACCTGGAAGCGTTGTAGCAAGATGGGGAACTATACCCTGGGGGCTCTCACCAAGGTACCCATTCTTAGATGRGTTTGTGGGTTTCTCTGTTCCTTGAAGTGTGACCAGGGTTTTCCCCTTGAATAAGCCCAGGTGTCCCTCTGGGCTGCCCCGTCACCTTCGATACATCATGGCTGCTGCAGCGCTCACTTGAATGCCTTGGCAGTGAGGAGCCAAGGGCTGAGGCTTTTTTTTCTCCTTATAAGCTCCTGTTTTCCGAAAGATTTTCCTTCCTTATTGCGGGCAGGGCTGCAGTGGGGCCTAGCTGGTGTTTTGGGACAGGAAGCTTTGCAGCTTTGCTCTGGAGACTTCTTTTCTGCRTATTTTCCATTTTGCTGATCTCTGCTCCTTTTTCTGGCTAGACTGGCAATACCTGTGCTCCGCTTAGAGCTCTACTGGGAGCAGAGAGCCCTGGAGGCTACAGATCCCCTGCTGCCTTAGGGGCTCTGTGCTCTGGGTCAGGACTGAGACGCGTTGCTCTGTGTGTGGGGAAGACTTGTGTTTCCTGCCAAGTGTGTAGTGTCTGCTCTGGGGAAGCATGCTAAAAGCCATACAAGCTTCAAGGCCCTTTCTAACACTGCTCAGTAGTTATCGTGGCCCCCTGYGATGTAAATCACAGTCGTCAAATTTGCTTAGACAGGCACAGAGCAGCTGTGTGATTTTTACAAAGTTCCTGCTTCAACCACTTGCCTTATGCTCTATCCCTGAAAGGGATGAGAGCAGGGGGTCTTTGATTCCTTACAGGATGATGTCCCAGTCRAGCGCCTATTCTCCTCATCAGTCCCTAGAGCTCCTAATCCCAATAGGACTAAAGGTTTTAAACCAGCAGTTGATACCAACTGCTCAGCAGAAGGGGAGGAGAATGGCTCAGTTTTCTATCCTGTGGCACCTTTGTGTGTCTCGTGCCTGTTCTCTTTCCCCACTGTGCAACAGGAAGCTGTTCTTGCACCCCACTGGGAGACCAGCCACCTCAGTCAGCGGGCAACAGATTGCGGTTGTTGCTCCTTTCCCTCTCTACCTCTTCTTTCCTTTGCACAGCTCCTGCTCAGGCCCAAATCATTCATGCCGGGCAGGCGTGTGTGGTGAAGGAGGACAACATCAGCGAGCGTGTTTACACAATCCGGGAGGGGGACACGCTGGTCTTGCAGTGTCTGGTCACAGGACATCCCCGGCCACAGGTAAGTTTTAGACTGGCCTGTCACTGCACTCCCTGCTGTCTACTCTGTGGTCAGAGCTCACTGGAGCTCTTGGTGTGGAGCTGAGCATGGCTCCCTGCTCTAGCTCTTCCCCAAGGACCCTCAGAGGTTGCACAGTCTCAGATCTCTCCTCCCTTCGGACACTTAAGCAGTCGGGTTCAGTGCTAGTGGGGGGATGTCTGAGGAGGTGCTGGATCAGGCTGTGTGCCTGCCTGCACTGGGACAATGTGTGGCAGGAGCAGTGACTAGCACATGCTGTAAGGTTGGATGTGCCAGAATACACACAAGGGAGCCAGCCACAATACATGTGCCTTCTTGGCCCCTTCCCCAACCCAGGCAGAGACATTTGTTGTGAGAAGTCATCCATCTGTGCATGCCAATCACCCCCTCCACGGACTTGCTTGTGAGAAGTTACTTGGCTGAGAAGAGGTGACAAAGGAGAGGGAGAGAAACCCAGTTAGTAGAACCAGGAACAGATTATCCATCAAAGCGTATCCTAGAAGCAATAAAAGGGAAATCATCTGAGCCAGGCTCGTYAGGATGATCAGCCTGGGCCTGTGACAGTGGTGAGCTGTGGCTGACTGGCATGAGCAAGGAAAACAGCAGGGCTGGTCCTTCCYGAGCACGTTGAAGGTGTGGGAAGATGCAGGTAAGTCATGGGGATTCGAGCCAAGAGMAGCAGAGCTCCTGCTTTTGCTGGAGCAGAGCTTGATGGAGACAACACACTAGTGAGCGACACTGTGGTTTGTCATTGCCCACATAGAGACTGAGACCGGAGTGTAGAACCACACGTGACTGGGAGGCTGGAGCCCCTTTGCATGAAACATAACATGTGTCCTGTCTCTGCTGTCCTTCCTTGTGGACAGATTTCTCTTCCATCTAAACTTGTATCCTCACCTTGTTTTAATCTTTTCTTCTTCTATCAGCAACTTAAAGCTTGAAAATGTGACCAAAATACTTAAATGACGTTGAAATAGAAAAGATTAAAGAGCCAACTGGTGTGTCCTTGTGAACTGGAGAAACTGAAAGACTTGGGGCCATCATACAAAGGTTAAAAAATCCATAGTCATTAGTTGAGAAAATCTGCTCAGCTTGCTGGTCTTGGAAGAAGCTCCCCCTGTTTCTTCTAGAGCATCAGCATCATTCAGATGATTCACTGGCCTAAGGGGAAGGCGGGATGRGGTCAGGATATCTGCTTCTCTTATGTGGCCAAAACTGACTAGAAATTYACCTSCTTTATGTTGGCTGAYGTTGCTTGATCTCAGTCCTAGAAGYTAGACAGCACTGACATGGAAGACAACCAGAGTCACTAGCCCTGAGAAAGGAAGCTGTTGATATAGGAGACCACTGACCTGAGAAAAGTCATCTCTCTTTCGTTGTCTGAGCTGCAGAAAAGTCTTTACAGCTCCTGCTCAGTCTGTATCTCCTTACAAACCTAAAAGAATAGTAGCTCAATGTTTAAACATGCCATCTTCTTGCCACCATTCACTGTGAAATATTCTGACTGTGGCCCCACAAGCCAGGATCTAAAGAGTAGAACATGTGACATAAGGACAAAAAAAAAAATGCAAAACAGCCCAAAATCTGTTTTTTTTTTTTCATTTTCTATATCTTTAAAGAAAAAAGAAAAAAAAGTAAAAGCTTGTGCACGGCAAAAGGATGACTTACAAAAGTAATACACAAAGAGGTTCCTTGGGGAAGGGGTAAGAGCAGGAGCAACTGCAGTTGCACATCTTGCTTGGAGAGGCAAACAGCTGAAGTAGCCTTGTTGTCCAGAGAGARGCAAAAGGGCCCTGCATGAAGTGCAGTAAAAGCTCTGCAGCTATSAGCTGGTATCTGTGGTAGATTCCTGGCTTATGGACCATACAGGATACCAGGGCTTAATACTGAAACTCCAGAGCTGTGTACAGRTGGTGGTATTGAACTCAGCTGCTGGGTTTCCAGGACCAGAGCTGGAGGGGTAAATATGCAGYGTGTGTCTGGTGAATTAGGGGATTATAGTAGCTGCTAAGGGTTGGTGATAGGTGAGAAGTGGCATTTGGGATATTGAGACTGTTGAGACGCATGGAGCTCAGCAGTTGAACTTGGTTAAGCTCTGRCAGTAATGGGCTTTAGGGTCCATTTGTGTGAGTCCAGGGGAAGGGAAAAGGAGGAAAGGGAGCACTGCCATGCCCTGGATCTTTGGTTTGAATTGCCAGTAGCTTGCATTGAATCTCCCGTTCTTTTCCTGCAGGTGAGGTGGACCAAAACCGCCGGCAGTGCCTCGGACAAATTCCAAGAGACATCGGTGCTTAACGAGACCCTTCGGATTGAGAAGATCCAAAGGCTGCAGGGGGGCCGCTATTACTGTAAAGCAGAAAATGGGGTTGGGGTCCCTGCCATCAAGTCCATTCGAGTAGATGTGCAGTGTAAGTCATTAAGTGGCAACCCAGACCTTCCCACAGTTCTACTGTGTGTCTCTGTCCTGCTGCGGGGCTGGCAGGGAGCTGCATTGCCCTAGCACCGTGCAAACCCAAATCAGGAGCACAGGCACCAATGAGATGTCTCCAGGGTCCRTCTCTCTGAGGGGCCAGGCCTGTCTAAAAAGAAAGATGATTTTGCCTGTCCTTGTTAAACCATGCTTTCCTATATACTGTTACCCCTGTCACTGTTAGGGCATTTCTTAACACTTCTCTGGTGCGTAGTGTTGTAGATGGCTCCTGCTTTCTTTATGTCCCTTTTGAAACCAGCTTTTTCTTCTCTTTCAAATGAGCAGCACTTTGAATGCCTGGGAGCACTCCTGAAGCCAGTGTCCTGCTCCCAGTAATGCCACCTCTGCCGGATAGTGTAAATAGAGTAAARGATTCTGGGATGCACCTGAGGAGGCTGAGTTACGAATAAGTAAATGTGCAAGAGGAGAAGCTCTGAGAACCTCCAGATTCTTTTAGTAGTGACCCGAAGTTTCTGTGACTGGTTGCCCTGCTTTTCTCTTGTACTCTGGGTATGCCCTCGGTGGATCTTTGTCTTGACGTGGATCTCATGTTTTGAAAGCCTCTCATGCTAGATTAATGATTATTCTTGGGCTGTTTCAGCTAAAAGGAAGGAAAATTAAGCTTGTCTAGTACCTTTCATATAGAAGGAATCAAAGGTCTAATGTTCAGGCAACTTTTGAGGAGACATGAGGAAGATTACCAAGATATTCACTGTGGCTTTCAGCTGCTGCCGTTTTCTATAGCCCTGGCAGCACTAAATGCACCTGTTCACTGTACTGCAAGAGCCTTGCCATCACGAGATTGATAATCTTTTTTTTTTAAAAAAGTGAAATATTATAAAGAAACTGGAGTTCTCCTTTTGCCCCTGCTCACTGTATTCCTCAAAATCCTTCTAGCAAGCCTGTCTTTTGTGCTGAGCTGCTCTGTGGTTCTTTCAGCAGATTCCTGCAGGTTTCACAGCCCAGGTAGCTGTCTGGAGTCTGAGCAGAGTTTTGCTGGCCGCAGGCCTGCCAAGGTTCCTCCTGGGCCCACTGTCTAGCCCAGGGATGCAAGATGGTGCCTTCAGGCAAACTTCTGCCTTCAGTTTAGAACCTCCCAAGGTGCCCCATAGACTTGAAMATGCCCTGGCTTTGGTAGGCTCCTGATGTACATTTGTATTATGTAGATTGGAGAGACTCCAGTTTTAAGTGAGCTTTGCCTGCTGTCCTCTGTGGTGTACCCCTCTCTTTTCCTACTTCGCCCTACTCTGTGTTGGAGGCAGTCTAGTATGAATGCARTCCTAACATCCAGAAATACCAAACTGCTTCAACTGAACATTTCTTCATACATACTGAGTAGGTTTGTTCTAAGGAGTCCTGATGCTCACCTGGATTTACCTGGATTCTCTACCCATTCCTCTTCCTGGCTGTAGTGGAGGCATTTGATTGTTCTTCGTTGAAAAGGGAACTTACTTTACTTACTCCTCCCTGTGACACTTTGCCAGGGTCTGCCTCTGTAGGAACAGGACCGTGGCCACAATCTCTCTCTACCTGTTGTKGGCAATTCTTTCAAGGGCGCAGACCGGAGCTAGAGCGATGTAGCGTCCCACAGTTCTTGTGCAGCTCTGACCTGTAGAACTATGGGGTGGCCAAGGGCTTTCTCATACTAACATCTACTCTGCAGATGGACTTGGTAATGCACCTCTGTTCTGCTCACTTGGTTTTTGGGGAGGAGAGTCTATTTTCTGCTAGCATTTGTTGTAGATAAAAGGGAACACATAGGAAAAGCCACAGTTTTGTTGAATGCTCACCCAGGCAAACTTCAGCAGAATGAACCAGAATTTGAACACAAATCCCTTCTTTCCCTGCACCCAGATTCATAGTTAGAGGTAAGTAATCACCCTCCTGTGAACCTTGGTGTCCTTGTCAACCAGTGCTAGTGCTCACTCATACTTGCAGTATTAGGCAGCAAGATTATGTGGAGAGCACCATTTGGTGCAAAGAGGATGTTAACCTGAAAGCACTGACCCATATAGCAAGTTACTCCCTTGCTCCTAGTGGGCATCAAGTGAGTCTTTTAAGCACTGGGTAGACACTAGCGGAGAGGGAGCTGCTGTTTGTAGTATTTCTATGTGAGAGGGAGAGAAGTAGAAGGAAAGAAGGAATGGATGTTTAYAAGCCCGTATTGCGCATGAAACATCCCATGTGATCATCTCTGTGAGCTGCCTTGGGCCAAATTTATCATTGTGCAGCTCGCTGACATCAGTGGACACGTATATCACCCTCAGTCTTATTTAGCTTTTCTCAGGAGGGCTAGGCTTAGGGGTGGCTGGTATTTAAAAAAGAGGCTGCAAGATTTGATGGAGGAAAGGTTTAGCAACAGAAGGAGGGTTATCTTTCCTATATGGGAGAGAGGAGGAGACCTGGATGGGAGGCCTCTTCTTTGCAAAGCAGGGGAGATGTTTTGCTCTGCATCCTGCTGAGAARTGGAGACTCAGAGAGCTGGAAGCTGCACTAACTTGTGTAAGGATGTGCAAATAAAAGAGCAGCAAGAAGAAGGAAGTGGGGAAGAGGAGAGGCTGTGCCGAAGGTCCTAGATCAAGAGAATTTGATTTAGGATTCAGTCAGCTGGTGGCTGAGTGGAGAGAGCACTGTATGGAGGGAGGGAGKTCTTTTTCTCCACCCACAAAAATTTTTCTTCAGTCTCTTTTTTTTCTTCTTCCCTCTGCCTTGTCAGCTTTCAGCTAACAGCTCTACTCATATCACTGAGTTCTGGTGTGGTCCAGACAACAAATCTCAGGTCTCATTACAAATCCTGTCGTCCAAGCATACAACATGTTAAAATATGCAAATCTACYAGTCCATGCTTGTGATTCAGCAGGGAACATGCTGACATTATTTGGATGACATGTTAACAGAAACTCATCTTACCCTCCTGCTTCCCCCTTTTTTCCTGTGAACCAAATTCCAAGCCTGAAAAATTCTTAACAAAACAAAAATTCTGATTTTCAATATCTTGAAAATTAAGTGCCACAAGACAGTGAGAGATGATGGGTTYGTGTTTTCTCTTGCATCACTTGCAGAGGACAGTGCTGGCAACATGAGGGCAGGTTGGGTGTGTATGCTTCACCTTTTCTTTGCAGTTGAAGATGGAGTCACAAGGTTGCTCAATAGAGTGACTCCACTGATCTCAACAGGCACCTTACAAGATGCCTGGGCCTGGGGACAGATTGCAGTTTTAAGGAGTAATTTCAGCTAGTCTTGTCAAATGGGATCTTTATGTTTAATCCMTGTCAGTCTCAGGGTGATTCTGAGAGAAGAAAGGCTTCTGAGGTCTTCCTTAGACCTTCAAACTCACTTACATGGTGCAAAGAGAAGGACCCTCTTTCTGTAGAAAGACAGTCCTTCTAGAATGGTGTGCCTTSGACTTGGGCTGCTGAACGCATTGAGAAACATGCTCTCTGCAGGGCCATTGCTTGTGTGCTTGCAGAGAGGTAACTGTTGAGCAGGTTGTGATAGCTGTATATGAGTGTATTATCCCTGATGATAAGATTTTGAGAAGAGTTTTTGTTATGTTTTTTTCTGTGTGTGTGCTTGTGAGAAGGGAGGAAAAAAAAAGAATCTTAGGGGTGAGTGGTGGGAACACAGTATATGCAGAAGCTGAAAAAGGAGGGAGATTCAGTGCAGACCATGAAAAGGAGAAGGTRCCCACAGAGGCTGTTCTATTAGGTTAAAAAAGAGAGATGCTGGACCCAGATATCACCATGCTTTGCATCTCATGCTCCCATGGCAGACACCCCACCAGACTTGTTCCTGTCTAGGAAATAACTGCACTTCAGCTCCTTGATCTTGTCCTGATTTCTACCCCATCCTTTGACTTGAAGGTTTGTCATGTSTTTTGTGCAGGCATCTCAAAACTATGGGCTTAGACCCATAAAAGTGGGAGCAGCAGGAGTGAGGATGCAGTAGGGTTTCCTAGGATCCTTCTGACCTCTCGATGAAGCAGAGACCTGTGTTTTGAGATGGAGGGTGAGACTGGAGAAGGTGATGCAGGCTGCTTTTCTGAGAGGTGTGTGGTAGACAGTTGCTCTGATTGAGGATCATGTGGGAACTGTAAATCAAAGGGTGCTTTCTATTCCCTGAATGTTGTGTGGTGAGAGGGAGAATTTTGGCTTCTCCTGTCCATTCTCTTTAGATAACATCTGTGTTATCTGGCCTCAGAACAGCTCTTAATTCAGGAGTTGTCATTGCCAGATGCGTGGGAGCTTTACCTCTCCCCATAGTCCCTGGAGTGCCATCTGCTCTACAGCCTGTGTGTGTTGACCATCTTCAGTAACAATTGCTGCGGATCTTCCTACCTTCCTTCCAGATCTAGATGAACCTGTTCTCACCGTTCACCAGACCATCAGTGATGTCCGTGGCAGTTTCTATCAGGAGAAGACTGTCTTCCTCCGCTGTACTGTCAACTCCAACCCACCAGCACGCTTCATCTGGAAACGGGGAGCAGAGGCTCTTTCCCACAGTCAGGACAACGGAGTGGACATCTACGAACCCCTCTACACACAGGTGAAGAAAAGCACACCCGTAGCTTGTGTTGAGCATCTCAGCGATGCAGGTGCTCTGTTCGGGGTTGTGTGTCTCTCTGGCTGGGTTARCATGGTGGTCACTGCAAGGAGCGCTGGCTGCAGAGGGTTAACAGCCCRTGCTTAGAGTATGGGGAGCTCCAAAACACAGAGCTACAGAAGAAAATGTGGTAGCCAGGAAGCCCCTGCCTCTCTCCCCCAGAGCAGTTTACTTGAAGCTGGTTGGATGACTGAGACTATTCACCAACCTGTAGCTGAGATTGGGTCTCCTCCGTCTGGATTGGGTCTCCTCCGTCTCTCAGTACTAACCTTTTTCTTAATGAGCACCAAGCCCCATAAATAGGGATAAGAGCTTCCTGTTTAGCAGTATGAGTGAATGGTAGGAATTATGGTGGATTTCAAGAGGCAGATAATGAAGAACTCTTCGTAATGGCCACAAGTAACATAGACAGTCTAGCTATGTGAGTCCTTTTCTTAGCATCTGCCTGTGATAAGGTATTATTCTGAGTCATTTCTGCTTTCTCTGCTTGTGTGTGGTTGGATTTGTTCCTGCATAGCCACGTTGCCCCTGTGAATGCCGCTGTCTTCACAGTAACAGGTCTGTCTGGGAAGTGGGAAAATTGGAGGAGTTGTTTGTTTGTTTGTTTTTGCTGGGGCATTTTGGCCATGTTATCCTGGGCTATGCTGCAGCTTTGAGTGCCCTTCAGATGATAAAGGGTCCTAGTGCTTTCAGCAAGGCCGTTAGATCACATGAGGCGACCGTGGCCCTCAAAGGAGGCCTGGAAAGGCAGCTCTTGGGGACATCCGTTTCATCCCACACACCTCTCCGTGCTCCCAAAGCTGGCCCTGAGCACAGTCTGGCTGAGTTTGACTTCCAAGTGATGCCCTGGGCAACCTTTCAGTTAATGTAGTCATGTTCATGTTTTATTGAAATACGGCAACCCTGTAAGTCATGAAAATGGGCAGTCAGATGGAAATATTCAGGAGGGTAAGGAGAGCGAACTGCAGATTAGCAGCAGAACTGCAGGAGTGCTGAAGGCCAGCACTGCTGTTTGGCCCTGAGGACAGCTCTATCTAGTCTTCTGCTATGTAGCATCTGACTAGGATGTTCCTGGCCTTAGAGGAAGCCACCGTGCACTCTTCCAGCTTTCATTAAGCTCAGTGTGGTTACCAGGAGATATTGCTTAATGAGGGGTTGTTTTAAGGACTTGAGATGTTGTCATCAGCTAAATAAGGCATGTGGCAGAAATATGTTGTGGAGGAGCATTAACATATAAATGACCCGGTGTCCTGTGGTTCCTGTCAGGCAACATTCCTGCCATGATGGGTCATTCCCAGCTCTGAGACTGGGACTGCTGTGCTCRTGCAGGAATGCCTTGGTAGTTCTCTAAGACCAGTGCAAACATGTGAGTTTGAGCCAAGAAGAGTTGCAGTTAACAAAACTACTCTTATACAGCACTGTGGGGAGAGCAGAATTGGAAAGGTAATGAAAACTTTGCTGTATGGGCTTTTAAAAATTGATTTACAATATAGGCTTATGCACATTTGCCAAACATTTGCTAATCAATAAACTGCATACGTATGACCCTGTGCAAATCACTAGCTGACRTGGCACATTATAAACGCCATTATTTATGTGGCATAGCAGCCAACCTCAAGGGATGAGCCTTTCATAGGAATATGGTCTGCTAAGTATTTGTCTTTTTAATTTACCCAGTTCAGATCGTTGTTCTGTGAATATTAGCATGAGCTCCTTTTTCTGTCCCTTGAGGTTGTCTCAAGAGGATTTGTCAAGCTGACACCTTCTCATGTTGTCAGACTTTTGTGGAATGGTTTCTCTAAAAGAAATTTAGACAAACACAGGCAAAAGAATAGCAACAAGCTGTCATAGAAGACATATGAGTTGCAGGGGGTGCAAACCACAGGAAGCATCTCAGAACTTTCCACATCCCATAAATATAAACTTACAGAATACATTTATTGTTAAATTAACAGCTTTGTTCTGTTGCTGCAATATGGCAGTAACTAATAGACTGCCAGAGTGTGATTTTTGTTGTTGTTTTGTTTTACTTCTTGTTATCCATAGTATGAGAAAAGTATGTCAAAGTCAGTGCAGTCACTCTGGGTTTATGCTAACATGAATCAAATTAAAATCTGGAGAAATGAGATCGGAAAGGCTTGAAGACTTCTTTGAATATTTATCTGATTTTTTTTTTGTCTCTAATGTGATTTTTTTTACAGTGTAACAGTTGAATAAGCCGTATTTTGACTAGCATTGATACCTGAACCTGCTCTGGGTTTGTTGTGTTGTGACCCCACTGATTTAATTTGGGCTCCTGGTGTTATCTTGGTGTGAGGTCAGGGTCTGGGTCTGGTCTTGGACATTGAGGGTTTTCAACTTCTGCAAGATGAATTTGCAGTGGAGAGCTGTGCTTTTTACACCCCTGTGCAGCTGCTTCTTTCTCATCTCCCAGGGTGAAACGAAAGTCCTGAAGTTAAAGAACCTGCGGCCCCAGGATTATGCCAGTTATACGTGTCAGGTGTCTGTACGGAACGTGTGCAGCATCCCTGACAAATCCATCACCTTCCAGCTCACTAACACTACAGGTAAGAGCAACCATGAAGAAGCCTCACAACCCTCTCAAGTTTTGACTGCCAAGCTGTTATTACCTCTTCAACGTGGTAACGTTATACCTTGTCTACAGCTACAGCAATTAATGGATCACATTATGCTTACGTATGTGGTTAAGAAAAAAAAAGAAAACCCTTAATGCAAAATATTTTTGGCCAAGGGTACTTTAATTTCTGTTAACACTGTGTAGAGCTGGTGCCCTGGCCAGGTCTGTCAGGAGTTCCTTAAAGCAGACCACAAGTAGGTGTTGAGGCACTACATAGATTTTAATCTAGAGACTTTTATTTATTTATCATTTTAAGTGACTTTAAAAATAGATTTGATAGTGTAGAGCAGAGCAGATGCTGCTGAAATTCTTACAAATGTTTCATTTATGAGGGACTCTGCCCTGGTTTGCAAGACTGCACTCTGGAACTTCCCAGTTAACTGGTTCTGCTGGTGTCGATGTTTTTGGAAAGCAWATGTCTCCAGCATCTTCCCAATAAACAAAAAATAAAGATTTTTACAGCTACACACTGATATTCATGCTGGCAGCGCTTTAGTGAGCCTCCAGTCTTGAGGAGAATCAATGTGGTACCTCTTGTTTGACCTGCCATGACCAGTTGATAATTGAATATCACATACCAAATACTTGCAAGGACCTGATTGCAACCTGTCCATTAAAAAACAAAACAAAACAGAAAAACAAGCTCTCAAATATGTCGAGTATTTTCAAATAATGAATAAGTGTCAGAAAATTGCTTCGGGCTCTGGGGTATTCTGTGATCAGAAAGAAAGGCAATGTAGTTGTTTGAATTATTCACCTCTCTAATGTAATACAAAGCAGTTTGTATCCCTAGTGTCATCTTTGTGAAGTAGAAACAGAACACTTTTGATGTTGCAAACTGTTGATGGGATATTGTTAATACTGTATAAATTATGTTTATTGATTTGACTGAGCCCAGGGCACCTGGCAGTGGTTGCATCTGTTCATGTAGAAAGAAGAAAATAACGAGCTTGAGAAAAAGTTAACTATAGCTAACATTAGGGAAAAAGCATTCTCCTTGTAGTAAGATCTCTGAACACTTCTTAAGCAACTCCTATTGCTGCTTGAGTTTATCTCAAAATGAGACTGTAGGGAATGCTGGAATATTCCCTTTAAAAGCTTGTCTTGTACTGTTGAAGAAGAAAGGAATCTCACACAGCTGTGTTTTCCTGTCTGAACAGTTAGAAAATCAATATTTTTCTTTCTGGCCATTCTGCCTCTACTAGCCCAAACACAGGGAAACTTTCCTTCCTTTCAGTCTAACCTCTTCACTGAGCAAACTGGGAAATGTATTCTAAGGCTGAAGCCAGATCAGAAGCTAGTATATAACTGAATTTACAGCTTCTTTGGTACTTAATAAGTTCTGAACTTGGTCCACATGCTTTTGGTGCCCTGCCCCTGCCTTTTTTCTTAAATGAGGTTTAAATGAATATTTATGCACAGTTTCAGTACAGCTTAATACCACAAGCTCAAAGAGACTATGAAAAAATGTTTGTGTTCATAGCCAATTTTATTCAAAGCTATTGATGAATATGAAGTTGGCTGTAAGGAGTGTTTGTATTAAAGAGCATTTCATGTTAAATATGCTTGTTCTGTCAGGCTTACCCTGTAGRTAGCATTGTGGGTAGATGAGAAAATATTTAAGGAAAAATATTTAATTCTGTCCTCCTTTCGCATAGGTTTCTTCTTTGCCGCTTACGCCTTGTGCATTAGCAACTTCCTTAGCCGTGGCCGTGTCCAGACTTCTGAGCAGCTTCGCTCATGATGTCTTTACTTTTGCCACCGAGGAAGGCCCAAAGGGCTCTGAGGTGCACGGAAATCAATCTTTTAAATATTTATACCCCTCAGCTATTATAGGCCTTGAGGGGAACTGATGGATCTGGTCGTGTTGGACCAAGGGAATCTTTTCTTCCCGTTTGTTTGCTGTTCCTTAGCTGTAGTCTTTGCTTTGGTCCGTGTGCTCTCCTGCTCTGTGTCGGCATGTTGGTCTGTGCAGCCAGGAATCAGTTCCCAATATGCAACCTTAAAGCAAAGGAGGTTTTGCCCTCTCTTCTGCTCTCTTGTTATTCCATGGCTGCTGAGCAGCAGGTCGTGCTTGGCAAGGCCACAGGCCTGGCTCTGTGCTGGGTTACCGTTGCTTGCTCTCGTGGGGTTGGGCTGATGTTTTCCTCTCCCTTGATTTCTGTGAAGTTAAGCAGCTCAGCTGGTTAATTCTTCTGCAGTTTTACTGCAGCAAATTGGTCTTCAAAGGGAATTGAAAGTGACTCTTTGTTTTTAATGGTCCCCTTGCTGCTCAGCAGTCTCCGCCAGCAGGTTTCTTCGACAAGAACAAAAGGATTTGCCACGGGTTACAAATAAATGAGATTAATCTCCTGCATAACAATGTCTGTGTACTGTTAACCCCTATCCACTGACAGGAGTGGGAATAGGGGACCATTTGAGCTCCTACAGCCAGGGCTCTGGTTGGGACACGGTGTGTGTGGCACACTGTAGGAGCTTGCTTTGCTGGTTCCCTGTCCCTCAACACATGCCCAACCTGCCCTGAGGCAAGGCTTGCCCCAGCATGCCCCTTCTTTTCATGTTACCTGACCTAGAACGTGTCACTGCTTAGAAGGATAAGTGCTGGTCAGATACGTGCAGCTCAAACATTGCAAGAGCCCTACATGTTGCTACCTACTGTGCTCTAGGTGTCCCTACTTGAGCAGAGGGGTTGAACTAGATGATCTCTAGAGGGCCTTTCCAACCTTAACCATTCTGTGATTCTGTGATATTAATGAAGACCTGACTCATGCTCTCTAAATGTGATGTCTTCCATCTGGATGTAGACTGATCTCAGTCCTTCTCTAGCTCTGACTGGGATGGGGGAAGATTCTCAGGCAAGACATTGCATCTACCACATTGCCTGTGCTCTTAGCTGAGACCAGCTCACCATTAGGTGATAAGAGCAGCTTTTCAGTATCAGGGGGACCCCCCTGACAGCTTTTCAGCAGCAGGAAGATGTCTTGCCCACCTACGCCAAGGTGAGTCACTGTGTTTTACTGAATCGTGGGCAATCACTCAGCACCCAAGGGGGATATACAAATCCTTCAGTGACTGCTTACTGCGTGCTAGCCCTTGGATGCTGTTTCAAAACTCTGCCCACGAGGCTTGTCAAAGGTGTTGAATAAAGGCTGTGACCCTTCAAATTTTAAGAGCTCTAACCACAGTCCTCAAAATGGCCGGTACAACTGGCAGAAGAGAGTTTCCTTGGATGGCCATATCTGGCATGAGTAGGGCATRTGCCATAGTAAGAGCAGGAGGACACTTGATTTGGTTTGCCATGTCAGGAGGCCCGCATAGCAGTAGTTCCACTGCTGAAATTGTTAGTAGGGGCTGTAACTTCTAGATCCAACACAAGCCGAGCACAGCTCATTAACGCAGGGTCCGGGGAGAGGAGAGGCAGAAATAATGATGCTGTTAAATCAGGCTTCATGAATATGGAAGAATGCCCGATTTTGCATTATTATGGGTGTTACTTGAAACGTGCTTCCCTGCCTTTGTGCGGAGGGCTGTTACTTTGTCTGCTCTGACTGAATGGAGCCAGAGATGGAGTCAGTGTCTTTAAAGAGCTTTTCAGGAGGTGAAATGGAGGACACAAAAGGAAGTTTTTGGGTGAGTTCTGGAAGTGTTTGGGAAGGAGGAAATACAGTGAGATGCATACTAAAATAAAATAAGCCCAGGAACTAAAGTATTCAAGGAAGGAGAGGTTGTTTAGATATTTTGGATCAATCCCAATCACTGAAGAAAAATCATAAAACAGGGTCCCCAGGTGTATAGAAAAGTGTATGTGACACCTGTAGAAGAGAACAGGAATGAGTAGGTGCTGAGTTGTTGTTTGTGTTGTGTTGTGATGGAGACAGGTTCTGTGATGGAGACAGGTCAATCTCTGAACTTAGAGGACCTTCAGATGGCTTTGCCATTCACGCTCAGGTGTGAGAGATGGTTAGGTTAGCTGAAGCCCTTTTTGAATGGAAGACTGAATGCTGTGATTTATCAGGCTCCTCTGACACTGTTCTCTCCACTGGGGTGAAATAGACCCTGTTTGCTGCCTCCTCTTGGTCCATTCCAGCTGAAGGAGGCCCATTTCTCTTCCCTGTGGCTTGCTGAGGCTCAGGGCTCCTTCCTCTGGGTTTAAATATGCCCATGTACTGTGCTGCTGTTCTGCCTTGTCATTCTCTGACCCTGTTGGTGTCTGAAATCCCAGAGCTATTAAAAGTAGCAGGGGGTAAATTAGTCCTGTGAGCTATCTGGACTGAGTATGTACAGATGAAAGATGAACATGAGGTTGAGAGCTGTGCGCAGATCAAAGGTGAATTTTCAATCTGGGCATCCAATTACGAACACCGCTCTGCCAGGTTGGCTTCCCCTAGCAGGGGTACATCCCCACAGTGCCAGATGGCCAGGCAGGAGGAGCCAGTGCTTGCCCTTACCTCTCTTGGGAGGATGACAACTGCCTGCTCTACAGGGAAATTCCAGAGACTTTCCAACAGGTGTTGGCTCAAGCCCCAAATGCTAAGCTCAGTGCGTGGCTGCAGCTTTCTGCACTTGGTGACAATGAATCTCTCTCTCTCTCTCTTTTTTTTTTTTTTTTTTTTTTTGTTTTTTTTTGTTTTTTTTCTCTCTTCCTGAGCACTTGGTCCAGTGTGCTGTTCCTGCCCAAAGAACAGGCAGACTGGCTTTTGATTCATGCAACAGTCCCACAGGGAGGGACATACAGGTGTTCCAGTAGGAGCAACCTATTGACCTTTTACTCCAGTCTTACTTCTAGAGGCCCTGCTTAGAGCCAGAGATGTTAAATACTAAATGAGCAGAAGGCACTGTGGTATCTGCAGAGGAGTGGGCTGGAGTGCACTACAGGGAAGTAATGCTGAGCCATTGTTGCTTTCCATGCCCTTCTACCTTACTGCCTCTAATCATGGAATATTTCAGGTATCATCTTCATTCTGGCTCTGTGTAAGTTTCTGCCTTTGCTGCTTCCTAACCATAACAGAGCAGTGTGTTCTGACTCAGAACCATAGTAACAATGGTGCTTTAGGTTCATAGTCGCTTGGTATTTGATTTGTAATGAATTAATGGATCCCTCTGTTTCTTCCTTCAAATCAGGCGTGGGTTGCTTTTTTTTTTTTAACAAATCAAAAAAAATGAAGCTTTGTATGGGCAAATGGGTGGGTCTTCCTCACACTTCAGATTGTTGCTCTTTGTTCTTTTCTAGCCCCACCTGCTCTGAAGCTGTCAGTCAACGAGACACTGGTAGTCAACCCTGGTGACAATGTCACCATGCAGTGCTCTCTGATAGGTGGTGACCCGCAGCCAGAAGTGATTTGGTCTCACTCACCTGGCCCAATGCCTCCCAACAGCCTTGTGCAAGGAGGCAACCTCAGCATCTGGAAGATCCGCGTGGAGGACTTGGGCTACTACAACTGCACTGCTATCAACAATGTGGGGAACCCAGCAAAGAAGACAGTGAACCTTCTGGTGCGGTGTAAGTTATTCTCTTTTTTCCAATGGGTGGATTTTTGGGATGGAGAGGCTACATTTGCATTTCTTCTGGTAGTTCTTGTACAGCTCAGGGTGAATGTGATATTTAGCAGAGATCATTGTTCTGGAGATGCTGCTGTGCAAACTCCTTTGCTCTCAGACCTGCAACTGCTCCAGGGCTGCCTGGGCCATAGCACTGTTCTGGGCTGGAGAATGGTCCCAGCCTGCCAGATGGAAGGCCTTGGGGATCTGTTGTGAAATCACAGCAGGATGAGATCTTGGGACAGATTTTGTGCGGAGATGCTTTCCTGAGGAACAAAGGGCCGGTGTCCTGTCCCTTGCAGGACATTTTGCTGTTCCTAACTGGTTTTGCACTTGTGTTCCTCCCAGCCATGAAGAATGCCACGTTCCAAATCACCCCTGATGTGATTAAAGAGAGTGAGAGTATCCAGTTAGGGCAAGACTTGAAGCTCTCGTGTCACGTGGATGCTGTCCCCCAGGAGAAGGTTGTCTACTCCTGGTATAAGAACGGGAAACCAGCCAGGTTCTCAGACCGGTTGCTTATCACCAGGAATGACCCTGAGCTCCCACCTGTGACCTGCAGTCTGGAGATTATTGACCTGAGGTTCAGTGACTATGGCACCTACCTGTGCGTGGCTACCTTCCAGGGAGCACCCATCCCAGACCTCAGTGTGGAGGTGAACATCTCCTCAGAGACAGGTGAGCTCTCTCAATGGTGGCTGGGGCTCTTGCGAAACAAGGGTCATCGCTGATGTTGCTATCTGTCCTCTACCCAGTCCTTTTCTTCTTTTGAGGGACCTTACATGAACATCTTGGATCACAGTGGGGTGAACTGCTACTATCTCAGGCAAGCACTGGGCTGTGACTGGAAATGGGTGGTAGTAGTTACAGCTCCTCTGCCGGATGTGCTGTTCCCTGAGAAGATGTCCCTTTGTGTTTTCTCCCTGTGAGAAGTCTAAAGTGCAGTCTAGCCAAAGCCACAGAAACGCCTTTAGGGTATGATTGTTTAAAGAAGCCACCAAATGAGGATATATTGTGAAAGAAGAAAGAGGGAGTGGAATTTCACCAAATTTCCCAAACTTCTTTGGTTGAGAGGAGTCTAAAACAGAAAAGATGATGCTCTTCACTCACTTTGACTTTACTTATGAGGAATGTCCCTTTGTCAGAGCTGTGTCCGGGGCAATAGTGTTATCTGTTGCAGCAGATTCTGTGAAGAGCCTTCACGTTTTGTGGTGCAATTGTATCCTGTGTTGGGTTTTCTCTGCAGGAGTCCAAACATTAGAAATGCCTCCCCTCCTTAAAATCAAGAACAGTATCCATTGCTCCCTCTTCTCCCGTAGCTTGGTGAGAACAGGACTCAGTCTCAGGTGTGCTTGTAACACCTAGTCTCAGGCTTGCCTCTGAGTTTCTGGTGAAGCAGGGGATTCGGTTTTGCTCTCCATTATCTCTGTCTCATTTTGCAGCCTTCCTGGGATCTCAAGGGGATGACAGAGCTAATAATCTTAGAGCTCCTGAGGGAACCTAGCTGCCTGCAGAGTCTGTCCTGAACTGTCACAGAATGTTTCTACTTAATTTCTGGTTGTCTTGAACCTGTTAGTCCTTGTTTCCTTGCTTAGGAGAAAGCATCGGCACTGGCTTTTGTTGTGTTGGGAATGCCATGGCCTTTGGTGGAGGTGCTTGGGTCAGTCCCGTTCAAAGGGACTGCTGTGGACACTTCTTAGCCACCCTGAGACCAGGCCCTGACCATGCCATAGACCTGTGAAGTGCTGGAGGCTGATGTCTCCTCCCTGCTCACAGTCCTGGCAGGTAGAGMCGTGTTTGTGCCAACGAGGACTGCCCCACTGACCGGCCAGGGAGCAGGAGAGAGCCCGACTGGTCACTAGTGGTCAGCCCTAACATGGGTCTCCCAGACCTCGCCGGGCTGCTGGCACCAGGAACAATCCTTTCTGCCCGAGATCACTAGATGGCAGAGTGCAGTTGTCTGTAAGACTGCAAGGGTGGGATGTGGCAGGAGCCAGGGGGAGCACTTGGAGATCCTGGATGTCCCCACCACCAGGCTGGGAGGTCTGTTGGCAGAGGCCCCAAGCAGATGCTGTCATCAGGCCTGYCCCCCATCTGCCTCTGCCAGCCACAGTGGGTCCCATGAGGATACCCCTGCCAGGGAAGGGCTGGAGGGCAGTGTGAGGCATTTTGAAGCCCCTCTTCATCAGCGTGGGCCAGCAGACCTTTTGGTGACCCGGCGAGGAAAAGCCGCCGCCCGTGTCGGAGCGGCCCTGCGTGCGGCCTGCTCGGCAGCAGAGCTCCCTCCCTGCAGCCCGCCCACCCCCATGGGCAGCGAGGCGCCTCCTGCGTGGGTGCCACAGCAGCGGGTTCCCCCCGGGGCCAGACTGAAGCAGGAGGGTGCCAGCCACAGCCCCGTGCTTCCCTGCCCTCTGCATCCGCATGGGTGGTGAGGCCTGGGCTCACCAAGGTGCATCCCTCCGCTGGGCAGCTCTGAGGAGATGGCTTTAATTATGAAATACCTTTGAGTGCAATTTGCAGCTTTTTCCCACGAAGAAAATTGCCTCTTGCCAGGTGAGCAGCCGCTGGCAGTACCAGGCAGTGAGAGCACTGTGGGGCAGGATGTCATAAGGCTTCCTAGTCCATGGGAGACCTGCAGATTGAATATGTGGCCTCTCAATTGCACAGGGGAGTCGCTGTTGAGGGAGATGGGGCTTGAGCCATCCAAAATATTCTCTTAAAGCAGTTGTGGACTCAAATGTGTGCAATTATTTTCTCTGTTGCTGAAATTGAATTGAATTAATATTGGTCAGATCAAACTGTTAGCACTTCTGTAGTTCTGAGCTTTGTTTTAAAAGGAAATGAAGTATTTGGCCCTTGCAGTTCTGTAATTGTCCATCCAAGTGCCACTACTGCCAGCTAAAAAACTTGAAACAGGAGCTTTCTACAAAAAGATTACTTCTGTGTTTACCTCAGTGTTCTGTTAACTCTGAAGCCTAGTACAAATACTGTGTCAATACTGCTTGAGTTTCAGCAGGAACATCCATTTCCTTGGTTCTTGGTGAAGCTGAGGGTATGAACAACACATCAGTTCCCACTGAAACCTCTGCTCCTTTTAGCTGCACTCCTTTGGATTTCTCTGGGCTTTGTTTATCACTTTTGTTTGTCGATGAATAAAGGGCCTGTGCCTTTAGCTCTGGCCCTAGCCCGGCAGCAGTTCTACTGAGTTGTTCTCAGCCAAGCCTGAAAGGGATGCACAAGAGTAGTCTTTCCTGGGACCTCTCTCTCCCTTGAGTGAGTCAGAGAAAACCAATGCGGTGTAAAAGTAAACAGACATTTTAAAAGAATTGGCTCCTTGCTGTGGATTAAGAGAGAGAACGGGTCCTGGATGCCTGACAAGGCTGGACATGAGATCTACAAAGTGTTAACCCTATGGGCCTTGGCTCCAGACCAATGCATGTGAGGTAATTAGTGCCTTGGCAGATGTGAACTTTTTCCTGGCCAGAAGAGTTTGAAGTTCCATTCAGGGAAATTCACTGGCCAGAAGTGGGAAAAAAATGGATCAAAGAGGCTTTTGCCTTGGGGTTCATTAGTGCTAGCCCTGCTGTTTAACAGCATTTTGCAGCTGATGAAGTGGGAGCTGAGGAATGTCCCAGTACAGCTGGCCCTTGTTGTTGGCATTGGCAGGGCTCTCCTTTGGTGCTTTGTAGCTTCAGCCCTGTGCATTACTTACAGGACACGTGTCCTCGTAAAGAGGGCATTGGTGCTCCCTGTACTATGTTGAGTTGAAAGCTTTGGAGTTTAGGGCTTGCGAGGTGAGTTGGATGCAAGCGTGTCTTAATGTTCCTTGCTCGCTGGAAACTTGGTGTGAAAGCAGTCTCTTCTTGTCATCTCCATTTTAGTGCCACCAACCATCAGTGTCCCCAAGGGCCAGTCGACCATTACTGTCCGGGAGGGCTCCAGGGCTGAGCTTCAGTGTGACGTTCGAGGGAAGCCCAAGCCCCCCATCCTGTGGTCCCGGGTAGACAAGGAAATGCCCATGCCTTCGGGGACGATGACTGTGGAGACATATGATGGGAAGCTGCGCCTGGAGAGTGTGAACCGAGAAATGAGCGGCACCTATAAGTGTCAGACAGCCAGGTACAACGGCTTCAACATCAGGCCCCGCGAAGCCTTGGTGCAGCTCAACGTGCAGTGTGAGTACCAGTATCACTGTGTGGGGCTGGAGCGCGCGTCCGTTGCTCGTGTGCACAGAGGGGGCTTGTGCTCCCTATGGCCTTTGGCCTTTCTTACTAGGCTTAGCAGAGAGATCTGCTTCGTTTGGGGAGTCTCTGAACAGCTTTATATTTAAGTGGCCGAAGGGCCGGCATGTGGTAAGCGACTGGGAGGAGGGTGTTGTGTATGTTCATACCCAGAGATCTCCCTTTTTCTCTGAGGGATTCTCTAAAGGGCAGCTGTGCCAGGTGGTTCTGTGCATTGCCTGTATACAAAATACATTCAGCATGTGTTGGTACGATTGTCAAGTTAAGCATTTTGTATCAGATTGTGTCAAATGGGTGTTAATTAGAATGTTTCTACCCTATCACCCTTTGGGCAATTTTGTTCCCCCAGCTGTCATTTTTGTATGTGCCTGAACCATTTTGCCTGAATATTCCCCTGTGAGGGGTAACCACAATCACAACAAAATCAGTGCTAAGCAGACCCTAGCAGGAATGCATAATCCCAAATGGTTTCCATGCAGTAAAGCTGTAATTAACAGAAAACTGATTCATAGCATGTGGTGTATTGGGTAATTTCAGTAATGAGTGGTGTTCCCAGCCCCACTTGCAGGTGATACCTGCACAGAAAGGGGCAGGTGGAGGAAGGATGTCTGCACTGTGTGGCTGTAGCAGCTCCTTCTTCCCCAGAAGTTCATCTGCCCAGCCTCTGGCTGCTGAGGTGTGTTTTGAAACGAGAGGAGCATCCTTCCATGCAGAGCCCATCACATTGATTGCAGGACTCCCGTGGAGTCTTCCTGGGACCCCGGCAGATGTGGGAATGGTAGGGAGCAGGTTAATTTGCACCCGGACATGCAGTCTCAGGGTTGGGAGTGAAGAGCCTCTGTGCACAGCCCAGCACAGCGGTACTCATTAGACACAGCTGCCATCCTCCTCCTAGGCCGGTCACCCAGGGAGAAGGGAAGTGAAACCTCGGCTGATAACCTGTCTGAAGCCAACCAGACACACACTGGTGACAGATGGGAGCTGTTGGGAGCACAGCAGTGACTAGCTGAGACGAACCAAGCCCTGCAGAAACTTTGAGTGTTCAAAGATCTCCCTTTGAAGCAATCTGTTTGTCCACTTAAGAGCATGACAGGAATTAAGTTACAGGATGCAGACAGTGCAATTCATGTTGATTTTTAAGCTAGGTAAGTGTGTGTGGAGAAGCTTCCCCTAAATAGGTTGGAATTGAATATCTTGTTTTAAGTTTGGCTTGGTTTGATTGGCTTGATTAAGACCAGCTTGGTCTGGAAGCTTAGGCTAGGACAAGTACAAAGTGTCCAGTAGCCTATAGGAAAGAATGACACTCTTGTTCACTGCAGGAGCTGATGTGAGATGGGACAAAGTCTTGCTGTGGAGTAAGGAGTCTTCTGACCCGCTGGGGTCCCCTGTTCATTGTTGGTGTTTGGTGGAAGCTGTGTGGTCCCTGCAGACAGTCACTGCCCTTGCAGAGAGAATGGAAGTGCTGAGCCTGTGATGGATTCTGGCTTATTAGATGGTCTGAAGGGAAATCACAGCCTGATCTCTTGACCGGGATGGGGAGGACATGACTCCCCATGCAAGAGAGATGGTAGGCAGAAGCTAAGAGCTGTTGTGGGGCTGGCCCCTTCATCATGACCCCTGGGAAGACAAAGATATGATTGACTTCAGTACAGATTAAAGAGCAGTTCAGAGTGCTGCTCTTACAGTTCTCCCTCTGGCTAAGAATGCTTTGTGGTGATTTAACCCAAGTAATGGTGGTAACCTAGGTAGTCCATGTAGTAGCCCACCCAAATTATCCTCTTCTCGGTAAGTTCGTTAGTTGCCTCTGGGTTACCTGTTGAGCTTGGGACAGACTGAGCTGCCTGTTCCCACCTGGAAACTGTTTGTGGAAGGAGCTTACAGGGTCACAGTCTGTTCTGTGACTGAGCAGGTAGCTTTGATTTTGGGTCTGCCAATTTGCTATTTCCTTCCCTCAGCATGAAGAGCAAACTGCAACACAAATAAATGCATCGCCCCCGTCTGCTTTGTAGACTCCACCCCCTCTAAGGAAAAAGGAAAAAAATATACTGCCTGTTTATGCCTTTCCATCTCCTTCCTGCGGTTGGAAGGAGGTGGGTGTCCCTGCAGGGGCCTGCTGTGGTTAATTGAAGCACCGCTCTCCAGTGGGGGCAGCTCATTAGTTTGGCCGCTTGCTCTGGAATTCTAATCTCGTCAGAAATGGGAATCGTGCGGCTCCTGCAGCCTCCGTGATAAGAGCTTCCCCCTGTGTGCCCGCAGCCCCTACTCCCCATCCGAGTGCCCACTTAGGGGGCTCATGTCCACACGGGCTGCGGGCTCCCTGTGAGCTCCCTCGAGCTGCCTCGCTCACGGGGAGAGCGAAGCCGCCCTGGGAACGTGGTGGCTCCTCTGATTTGCTCCAAAGCTACTCGCAAAATCAATACTGCAGATCTGATTAGATGTCAGAACCTGTTTTCTGTGTTTCTCTTTCCTTTTTCTCCCCTCACCCTCATGCATATAGTCCTGTATTGTAACAAAGCAGCCCAGAAATAGGCTTTGCCAACTGCACTGCAGTACTGGAAAGAAGAGAATGAGAAGACAAAAAGAAGAGGTCAGCTGTCAAAAAGAAATGTTTAGGCTTTTTATTATTTGCTTGTTTTTGTTTTTTTGTAAGTAGAAAAAGTTACTGTTTTATCTTACGAGCTGGTAATTGTCTGTCATTGGCTCTCTGATAGGCTAGGTCATCTGTTCTTTGGACTTCTCAATCTGAACTGTAGATCTCTGGAAGATTAATAAGTTCATGAAAGTCCTTGCAGCCTCATAGCTCTGTGATTAGGATGAAGAAATGTTATATACTGGCTAGAGCCAGAGACTGGGCTTTTCAGAGCTCCTGGGAATCTAGTTACCACTTGGAGTGACAATTTCTTGTCTTTTCCTAGTTCTCTAAGACAGGAATAAAACTGACCTGTCTTTTGGAGGATTTGTGAGAAATAATAAAGATAGCAGTTTGAAATCTTTAAATAAAAGTCATAGAAGAGCAGACTATTGTTATTAATAATATCAATCTTATTGCTAATGCTGTTATCCAGGCTTTTTTCAGAGCTAGGTATTCTCTCAAGAAAACCCCAGGAGAAAAATGAATCCTCTGCAGATGTGGGCTTAAAATCAGAGCTGGGTCAGCCTGTTCAGATAAAATCAATGTAGAGCTGTAAAACATATTGTGGGCTTGAAAATGTGTAGTCCTCTAGATTTTGGAACACAGAATGTTATTTTAACTAGTATGTATGAAAGGCATGTGTGTGCATCAGTGAAAATGATGATACCTAGATGCAAATCTAGCAAGGACATGGCAATTAATTGCAAAATATTTCAGCCCTATGTGCTAAAAGTCTGGCCAAAATAGCTATTCCCCGACTTACAGATAATAGAAGTGACTCTAGGCTTTGCAAGAATCAGCCCTTGAGACCACTGTTTTATCATGGTGATGTGACATTTGCTTTGTTAGAGGCTCATGTAGCAGTGGTGTAAATAGCAACCCAAGTATGTTATCCTGCTTGGATGATATTTGTGTCAGCCCTGATGCTTTGTCAAGCCTGAACACCATTTCATAAGCGCTGGACAGCTCTGTTATAGTCCACTCTATCTTGCCTCCTCATCCCACCCCATCCTTGATGAATCTACTCGAGTATGTCCTTGCTTATCTGTTTATCCTTTCTTATACCATTCACATCTTGCTATCTCAGGTCAAGACGACCTTGCTTGATGGACTCCCTTCTCAATTACGCAGGTATAGAAGGGGCTTTACCCTAAGCCACAGCTCTCTGTACTGTACTGCCTGTGGGTTGGGGGCATTAAGGGGGGGGGAACTCAATCATGGGCAGCGGAGGAAGTCTCCCATCTCCTTTGGAGATGGAAGAAGTCTCCATTTAGTCTCCATTTTTCTCTCTGTCTCAGTGACCTGCAGTTCATCCAGACCTCCATCTGCCATGCTTCTCTGAAGAAAATGTTTAACTTCACTTAGTCTTCCAGCAGTGGGCCTCGCCTCAATGTAGGGGGCAGGAAGAGGCTGGGTAGCTTGCCTGTTGTCAGAAGATAGAGAAATATACCCAGTCCCATAGCATCAGATCCCAGGATGTGGTGTTGTACACAGAAGGGGTGTGATGACGACAAGAATTTGGTGGGGCACATCTGTCCCTTCAGGTTGTATTTCCATTTGGTGGGCCTTGCAGCAGCTGATTGTCCCCTGCAGACTTGTGGAGGACAGCCAAGCTGAGAAGATGAGCTGGGGTAAAGGGCTGAGCTTCATATTCCTTCTCACCATCCTACAGCTTGTGGGACCTCATGACTCCCCGCTGATTTTGCGGACAGAAGAAGGGGCCAAGTGAGACTGGAGTAGCTGACTGTGCTGGGCAGTTTTGCCTTGACCCACTTTTTTTTCCCCTTCAGCAGGAAAGAAAGACTGGACTGGAAATGGAGCTGTGGATGAAATGATTATTGCTCTCCAGGGCTTTGAAAAGCCAATCAACAGTCTATTGGCAGGGGCAGACTTCACAGCTTAACTGCCAGGCTAACCAGGGAAGTGGAGTCTTGAGTGGCCACGGTCCTCTGTGGTTGTGGCTGCAGAAGAGGGTCTTCAGACCCTCAGCCGTCAGTCCCCTTGCTGCTCCTGTCTGCTCTCAATACCTGCATTGCTCTGCCCTTGGGAAGTGCTCATCTGCTCACCTCTATCCAGAAAACTGGGGACTGCCCTCTCGGTGGCTCCTTGCCTCCACTCTTATCTGAGGTCAGAATTTCTCCCTAATGAGGAGTAGAAATGTACTGGCATGGCAGAAAAGGACTTTATATCTTTGGAGTCTATTGATTACCTGAATAGGTTGTCCCTCTTGGCTAGATGCCAAAGCCCCATCTATAAGGAAAAGTGATAGTCTTACGGCAGAGCAGTCCTGCTTACTCTCTTG